TACTGAAGAAATACTTTATGGATTTTAAAAAACATTTTAATCTTCTGAATATGTCAAGACAACAAATATATATATTACAGATATATCAAATGTAGAAGTATTAGTAAATCCAGTGAATTAAAATAATCCATATTTTGGAGCAAGTGGGAAAATAATAGAAAAGGCTGGATCTGCTCTCGAATAAGATATTAGATAATAAGTAGTTAGAGGGAATAAATGGATTCTATCAAAAAGTTTTAGATTGTAAGAATAAAATATTAAATATATATTAACATTTATTGGTCCTGTATAATAGAGGAAAACAAGAGCTGATAAATTACAATACTTTTTTTAAAAAATGTAATGATCTTTTTAAAATTAATAGATTATAAATATGCAATGATTAATTAAAAGTTGAATCAATTTGTATTCCATTATTAGCAATACCATAAGCAATATTTGAGTAAAAGGAAAATCAAAATTTTTTACTTAATAGAATTCCTTTGGCTTTAAAAGATGCAATTTTAGAGTTTGAAAAATAGAAAAAAAAACATAAATAAATTTTGATATCTATTTAGGATGATTAATTGAGAGAGTTTTGTATTTAATTATTCTAATGATTAAATATTTGATAATCCAAAAATAAATAGTAATTCTATTTTTTGAGTATTTATACTTTTGAAAGATAAAATAATAAATAAAATATGATTCTTATCGTAAAATTAAAAGAAATAATATTATAATTATTCAGCAACAATTAATTATTAATTATATATTATCAAGGAAAATAGAAAATAATGAATTAACCCTCGGATGATTAATCATATAAAACTATTAAATCAGCAAAGTCTATGGCTTAAATAGGATAAACAGTTTCTGGAGAGTATTCATCAGAGAAGAAAAAGTAAATATAATAAAAAATTTACTTAATTCTCAATGATTATGAATGTAATAAGCTAGTAAGAAAAATGATTATTTTAGGCATTTTTCTTATCAATATTATCTATATTCATAATTTCACTTGATATTATATTACTTATTTTAGAGACTGAAAAGAATTTAGGAATTACAGATATTTGGGTAACTGCTAATTCAGGAGTGAGTGGTTACTTTTTAGTTGAATATATTTTTAGAGTTGCATCTTATAATGCTTTTGATGAAACTTTGATTGAATTTTTTAAAAGTAATTTTGTAACTAATTAAGAACCTTTTAATTTAGTTGATATTCTTGCATTAGTATACTCAATAATTGAATAAATTTTGTATCTTATAGATCTATGGGTTGATCCTAGAATAAAAGTATTAAGAATGCTTATTGTTCTTCGTTTGATTAGAATATTTAAATTTTCAACTTTCTCTTTAGGAGTGAAGGTATATGATTGAAAAATATAATAGATATTAATAAGAGGATTATCAGAAAGTATGTAAGCACTCTCATTACTACTATTCTTTACAATGATATGTATTAATTTATTCTAACTACTGAGGTGTGATATTGATATCTAGTTTTATGTACTTTGCAGAAAAAGAGTTTGTAGAAGATAGTTAAATTTAAAATATACCTTAAGCAATATGGTGGGCAATCATAACAATAACAACAGTTGGATATGGAGATTATGTTCCTAAATCTTTACTTGGTAAATTTATTGGAGTGTTGAGTCTAATTTTTGGAGTATTATTACTTTCACTTCCTGTAGCAATTATTGGAAATAAATTCTAAGAAATTTATTTATAAAATAAGAAGGAGGAAACTAAAAGAGCAAGAAAGAATGCAAAGGTTAAATAAATGATCTAAATATTAGACTCATTACAATTAAATTTAGAATTAAAATGAAAAAGAAATTTATAGAATTATTTTAAAATTAAATGAGTTAGAATAAGTAAATGAAAGAATTGAATAATGTTTGAAAGATAATCAATTTTTATATAGAAGTATATATAGATAATATTTAATTAGGTATCTCTAGAGATGCATAAAGTATGATAGATAAAATTGAAATAAATAGAGAAAATGGTAAAAGTAAGAGTAAATAAAAGGAAAGGTTGAGTACTTAAGAAAGAATTATAAAGATTAGAGAAGAAATTCTAAATAGTAGAAAAAATAAATGAATTTTGATTATATTATTTTTAATTTGTTTATATTGATAAAATTCATCAAGAATTATACTATGTTATATCTTAGATATTCTAATTTTATTTCTTCTTATTTGGAACTGATATGAAAGCTTCATTATACAATATTTATAATTTTTCTTACCTAGAAGAAGCCTATATTTGAGCTTCTTATTCATTCTGATCAGCATCATACTCAGAATCATCATCACAAGTGAAAATCTTAGTATATCTAGTATCTGTTCTAGTATCTCCAGGTTTAATAAAATGACCTCTGAATTTTCTGTATTCTTTTTCAGTTTTATTATTAGCTTTACCAGAATTGATTTTGGCATAAACCTTTTAGCAATGTTTAGGAATAAAATCAAATTATAAATTATTGAGTTCAATTCTTTTATTTTATCTTTAATCATCTACTTCTGAAGGATCAACACTACATTATGAACTTTTTTATTTAGATTTTCTATTACTAGATTTAAGTAATAATGAAAACTCTTCTTCTTATATTTATGTTAATGTGCATTCATTAAACCATTAATATTTTTAACTCCAATCATTTTCCAATATTAGATTCTTATATACTAATGTTTCCTTATTCTTTTTAATATTTCTAAGTACTAAAGGATGAGATACCATTGTATCATTAGTACATTATTCTACACTGATTTTTCTTAGAATATCTAAGTATTCTATATAAAACATTAACTTTCTGTATTAATTTCTGTTGATTACTTTCATATATGATTAATATCTATCTACTCTATCTGCTTAAAATACACGAGCATGCATTAAATATAATCTTTCACAAATATCTGATGCTTCTATTAATTATTAACAAAGATATTATTCAAATGGATCTAATCCTTTATTTTTTTATTTAAATCCTTCAGAAGTCAAAGTATCCTTAGCTCTTAATAATATATAAATGCTTAAATGTGATAATTTTAATCTAAATTCTGCATCTTTTTTTCCACATCTTCTGTGTTTCCTTTCTTTTGCAAATACTTCATCAATTGATTGAATTGCTTATTTTATATGTTATGAAGATATTCTACAAAATCTACCCTTATATAATCTAAAAATCTATTTTAATTTAATTACTTAATTCCTGTTAATTAAAAGAAATCATTTAACCCTTATCTTTTAACTCCCCTAGATTTGATATCACTTTCTATTAGTTATATTTGTTATTCTTTTGTAAAATTCTCTGAATATCCTGTTAATTATTCCCAACGATATCGAAGTGTATTTGCTTTTGATACTTTTTCTCCTGTTTGTAATTCAAATTTTCTTGCTACCTAAGTCCAACTTGTGCAATTTTTGCCTCCAAATGCATCTACAATAGCCAAGAACTCTTTGTCAAATTTCTAATCTTGTTTATGGTACCTTGAACTCATTTACAATTAATATTCTAATTAAACTAAGCCATTTTTAACCAATTTAAAAAATCATATAAACTTGTGCTCAGGTAGTAATATAATCTTGATATTAATTGTAAGATTAAAAATTAAAAGGTTTTTTATAATATAACAATTTAAAAAAATGTATGATATAAATTTTATTATAAAACCTTTTAAAAAAATATATCAATAATTTCTATCATTTCTATCATTTCTAATCCATAAGGATTGCCTTTTTTTATTTAAATAGTTCCTTCAAATCAATCTTAGACTTAGAAGAAATTTCACTATTCTAAATAATTGCCCCTTAACACTCAAACTTTTAAATAGAAGAACATGCATATTTGCAGGAATATTCCTTATCACACTTAACATAATATCTAATTGCTTTATCATTCCCAAATGTTAAATAAGTCTTTGTTAAGAAATGGACCTAAATTCCTTATGTAGATCCTACATGTTCATTTATAATAATAGGCTATTAATTTACATTTTCAATATTAAATATTAGAGTTTAAAAGTTCTCTGATTCAGATACTGCTATAATTTCTGTAAGGCTCAAAAAACATGCATTTAATAAAGAAGTTTCATGGATTTCTTTAGTGTAGATGATTTCATTATTAGTTAAATCTATGATATTTAGTAAATTCTTAAATCCTAGAATGATTTTAGTATTATCATTAGACAAATTCATTGACCTTAATTCATTTTTAGATGTAATGATTGGTTATTTAATCTTTTCTCCATCAAAATTCCAAAAGAATATATTTCCTTAATAATCAGCTGTCAATATCATTTTATCAGTTGTTGCAATAGTTTTAGAAAAATGAGATTTATTACTTTATAATAATGAAAACTTAATCTTTTTATTCATGATTGGTAATACTTACATTTGAGCATCATTTGCCCAAAACACTTATTAATTTGGAAATACAGCTAATACTTTAGTATTTTTTTAGATTTTAACCATGTTTTCCATCAATTCTAGATTATCTAAGTCCCATAATGATAAATTATTAACATCCTATAATATAAAATATGTTTCATCTAAAGAGACAAAAAAAGATTAGATAGGATTTACAACAGTTACTTCTTTCAATAGATTATTTTATTGATCCCATAATTTAAGTTTCCAATCATCTCCAGCAGTNTGCAATTTTTGCCTCCAAATGCATCTACAATAGCCAAGAACTCTTTGTCAAATTTCTAATCTTGTTTATGGTACCTTGAACTCATTTACAATTAATATTCTAATTAAACTAAGCCATTTTTAACCAATTTAAAAAATCATATACAGCCAAATTTTATAAACCAAAAATTAAATAAATCATTATTATTTAGTTTGCAACGATTGTAAACTTGTGCTCAGGTAGTAATATAATCTTGATATTAATTGTAAGATTAAAAATTAAAAGGTTTTTTATAATATAACAATTTAAAAAAATGTATGATATAAATTTTATTATAAAACCTTTTAAAAAAATATATCAATAATTTCTATCATTTCTATCATTTCTAATCCATAAGGATTGCCTTTTTTTATTTAAATAGTTCCTTCAAATCAATCTTAGACTTAGAAGAAATTTCACTATTCTAAATAATTGCCCCTTAACACTCAAACTTTTAAATAGAAGAACATGCATATTTGCAGGAATATTCCTTATCACACTTAACATAATATCTAATTGCTTTATCATTCCCAAATGTTAAATAAGTCTTTGTTAAGAAATGGACCTAAATTCCTTATGTAGATCCTACATGTTCATTTATAATAATAGGCTATTAATTTACATTTTCAATATTAAATATTAGAGTTTAAAAGTTCTCTGATTCAGATACTGCTATAATTTCTGTAAGGCTCAAAAAACATGCATTTAATAAAGAAGTTTCATGGATTTCTTTAGTGTAGATGATTTCATTATTAGTTAAATCTATGATATTTAGTAAATTCTTAAATCCTAGAATGATTTTAGTATTATCATTAGACAAATTCATTGACCTTAATTCATTTTTAGATGTAATGATTGGTTATTTAATCTTTTCTCCATCAAAATTCCAAAAGAATATATTTCCTTAATAATCAGCTGTCAATATCATTTTATCAGTTGTTGCAATAGTTTTAGAAAAATGAGATTTATTACTTTATAATAATGAAAACTTAATCTTTTTATTCATGATTGGTAATACTTACATTTGAGCATCATTTGCCCAAAACACTTATTAATTTGGAAATACAGCTAATACTTTAGTATTTTTTTAGATTTTAACCATGTTTTCCATCAATTCTAGATTATCTAAGTCCCATAATGATAAATTATTAACATCCTATAATATAAAATATGTTTCATCTAAAGAGACAAAAAAAGATTAGATAGGATTTACAACAGTTACTTCTTTCAATAGATTATTTTATTGATCCCATAATTTAAGTTTCCAATCATCTCCAGCAGTCAACAATATATTCTTAGAATTCAACCATAATATTTTTTTTATTTGTCCTCCATGAGCATTAAATATCTATTAATGACTAAATGTAGCATCATAAATTATTATTGATCCATTCCTTAGACCAGCATATATCAAATTTTTATTTTGATTATATCCAATAGATGACAAAGAATCAGTTAGACAAAATTTCTTCTATAATTTTGTCTTTTGATGGACATTCCAAATCTCAATATAATTACCTCCACAATAAATATTATCATTGCAAACGAAAACATCAATAATTTTTTAATCTCCACTTACAACTGTATCTTTTACTACATAATCTGAAAATTTCCATATCTCAATTTTTTATTCATTAATAGTAAGAAAATACTTATGATTGATAGTTTTGATTATTTCTAATGGTTTATTTGATGAAACAGTTCTCTACTAAGATTATCCATTCCATTAAATAATCAATAGAATTCCTTTATCAGTCCCAATCAATTTTGTCTAATTATCAAAACTAGATTCTATTGCGGTTATTTTTTAATCTCTCAAAAAATAATATAAAATATTGTAACTCCTTCCAACATCCACTTATAAATCTTTAGACTAATTTATTATTTCCTTTGATTCATATCCTAGAATCTTTCTTTTCTCTTTATTTGATTCATTATAGTCAAAAAGTAAATAATACTCTGAAAAATTATTATTAATCCATAATTAAGCTGTTTCTTCACTAGTTTGACTTAATATTCTATATTCATTATTATAAAATATAATTCTAATATCTAAAATTTCTGATCCATAATGTTTAATTTCTTTTTAGAACTTTTAAGTTTCGAAATCCCAAATGTATATGAAACCATCTATACTACCAGAACATAATAATGTTTAATCCTCAGATATAGATAAAGCAGATATGGCTTAAGTATGTTTAATTAAATTATGACCTTTTTATTATCCAGTCTCAGAATTCCAAATTTTAATTGTTTTATCAAATGATCCAGATATAATATATTTTCCATCAATTGAAAAAATGGCACATGTTATTTTCTAACTATGTCCCTTTTATGGATCTTATTTAGAATCAGAACTTTCTAAATCCCACATTTAAATTAAACCATCTGAAAATCCTGTCATAGCTAATGATGTATCATTAATTAAACTTAAAGATAGTACTTTTGGTTTTAAATAAAATGATATTTAACTTATTTATGATTACTATTATGTATTCCATAATCTTATTGTTTTATCCCAAGAACAAGAAACCAATTATTTTCCATCTCTTGAAAACTATAATTGTGATATATAATCTTTATGACCATCTAAACCAAAAAATTAATCTATTTGATTTACCTAAAAAACATGAATCTCTCCTAAATAACCTCCTGTTGCAATTAATGTACTATCTTTATTAATATCTAAACAAGTCATTCTTTAAAATCTTGATTCATGAGTATCAATTTTTTTGTCAACATGATTGTAAATAGAGAATGTATTAGAATAATGTTAAAAGACAATAATTTTAGCACATTTTACAGAAACCACATGTTCATCAGTTAAGGATGTAAACTTTTCTGGAGAAATAATATCATCTTGTAATTATTTTATATTAAATTTTCTAGACTCTCCTCTATTTATTATAGAACTTTATTAATTTAATTGAACATCTTTTTCATTTGAATTATATAGTATAGTATCTACTTTTGAATTACTAATATTAGAATTAATATTAGAATTATTATTAATTTCTGATATTTATTACTCATCTACATTTTCATATATTATTTATATTTAAAATTGATCAGCTCCATCTGGTCCTCCCAAAATTATATATTAATCATCTGGACTAAATGTTATACATTATTTATAACTTGAAAAGCATTCTCCATATATTAATTTTTATATTGGATTATTTCTATAGATATCAAATAATAATATTTCATTGTTATTCATTAATGCTAAATATTATTCATTATTTGATAGGACTATTTATTTTGGTTTGAATTAAAATTTTAATTGATTTTCCTCTTATAATTTAAATATATTGTATTGCTTAATTTAAAAGTCATCACTTACAATGAAAAGTTCTTTACTCTATATATAAGTAATTTAATCTATTGAATTCATCTTTGAATCTATTGTTGGTAATTCATCTACTTAAATCTCTTACCAATTAACATTAATTATTTTTGATTAATTTAAATTAACTCTTGATAGTTTAACATTTTAAAATGCTGAATTATTGAAATTACAATTAAAAAAATTAGCATTATTTAAACTAATTCCCCCTATTTTTATTTCAGAAAAATCTTATCCAATAAATGATTGTCCCATTTAATTAAGAATATAAAAACTATTTGAACTTCCTGTTAAAAATTTCATATTAATTTTAGAGCAATAAATTAAATTCATCAATTTTTATTTGATTTCTTCATTAAATTTTATTTTATCAATTATAAATTTAATTGGCCCTTGCATATAATCTAAATCCCATGATTTTTCAAAGAAATTATATTATAATAATTCATCTTGTTCTTCTAATTTAACATTAACATACTTATCTTATACTATAAGAGTCATTTTAGAAATTTAATCAATAAACCATTTGGCTACTAAGAATTCTTATAGTGATTTATGATTAAATGAATAGATTCCACTTTTTGATTTAATAGGAATACATTTTCTAAATAATCTTTTATAAACACCTTCTTTATCATCATCATTAAAAAACTTATCTTTCCAATCAGTATAATTTTTTTTAAATATCAATCCACTTGGTTAAAATTAAACTTAACTTAAATTTCTAAATGTCATTTCATTAGCTAATTTATGAGCAAATTCCCATAATTCATTTCCCATAGAATCATACTCAATTTATTCTCCACTTTCTCTCAATTTATAAATTTATCTTCTAAAATAATGTTCAAAAAATTCACCATAAAAATCATAAGTAGATAAGGGTTCCTATAATAAAGCCTATTTAATAATTTATAATTTTGAATGATGTTCAAAATATTATTGAATTTTCTTTTCCTATTCACTGATCTAAAATTCTTAAACAAATTCAGTAATGAATTATTGATTGCCTACTATTCTTTACCATTCATCTAATGCCTATTTCTAAATTGAATCCCCTTTCTTGCTCAAATATATATACTTTTTAATAAAATTCTCTTTTATATTATTTATTTCTTATCTCTATTTTACAATATAAGGTAATACTGCCATCACTATCTCCACCATAAATGGAGTTTCCATAAGAGATTCTAATTTCATCAATTTAATAAAATTTTAATAATGCCAACCCGACCATATATCATTTAACATTTATTAAATTGTTTTTAAATGTTCATTTGGAACAAATTACTTGCATCTTTATAATAAAGTATTAATCATTTCATTACTCAACATTTAAGGTTTATTTTATTTAAAATTAAATATTCCAACTTATTTTACTAATTCATTGTAAAAATTTTCAAATTCTTAATAATTCTAATCTTGATATGCAGCAAAATAGAAGTCTTTAATTACTCTTTTAACACATAATTATGTATACTCATCTATATATTATTGAATTTAACTTTCAGTGAATTTTAACAATCTAACTTCCTTATAAAATTTAATCTAATTTGATTCAGAAAAAAACCAAGAACAATATCCATTTATTGTGAATAATTCAGATCTTGATGTTGTTATCAATTTAGGATATTTATTTTTATCTGAAATACATCTCCATTTACTTAATCGATTGGAAGCATTTAAATTTAATCCAATATATTATTATTTTAATTCATCATAACTATCCAAAATTATAATCAATCTATATTATTTTAATTCTACAGCTTCCTTTAATTCTTCAACCTATCTCTCACTAAATCGATAATTATCTGATCTTAATGTTTCTTCAATTGCACAATAAATTGGATCTTTCAATTATGGTAATGAAACAAATATAGGTATAAGAGGAATATAATCTTATTAATTTTTATTTTTCTAATAAATTATCCAAAGATATTCCTCAATTTTTCTGGCAGCTGTGCTTTTACCTGATCCTGCTTATCCATGAATTAATAAGGAATCCTTTTATTATTTCCAAATAAATTCATTTATTTCACCATTACCAAAAAGATCTTCTGTAAATAAAACTGATTCTGAATCTTCAATACCTTCTTCTAAATTTTTTTCCTTTGTTTAGATTTAAATATAAACATTATCAGAATTATGAATCAATCTTTATTACAAAACTCTCTACATTCTTATTTCAAGCAGTTCTTTTACTGATCTTCCCTTTAAATATTTAATATCTTTATTTATATTCTCCATCATTTCTTAAAGTTATTGTATTTAATTCTCTATCCTCAATAAATCTTATTTAAGATCTTACATAAACAATACAGTTATTCCTAATTAATTTCCAATATTCTAAACATTCTCCAAAATACCTTAAATTTCTTTTTCTAATTTTGCATACTCTTTCTTTATTAAGTTCTTTTTTATAGGATCATTTTCAATAGTTAGTTATTAAGCTATATTATTTAATTCTTTTAATTTCTCTTTTATTTTATTCTAAATCTATTATTCTTAACTTGGCCAAAATTTACTAATCAATATACTAACATCTCCCTTTTAACTCTCAAATAAAACTCTTATTCTTTTATCTGTCTCAAATACCTAAAATTTTACTAATAATCCTGCACTAAAATTCATTGATTATTATGATAAACTGAAAGATCTCATTTATTATAATTCATATATTATGACTTATCTGATCCTCCATTTATTTTATGTTAATAAATCCATAAGTTATTCTTTTATATCATCTATTTTATCCTCTATAAAATTAGTCTCAGCTTCTTTAGTATCAATTTAACTTAATATAAAAATAATTTATGATTATAAATCTTTTTAATATGGATAATTCTATCTTTTTTATATTAGATTTTGAATTGTAATATAATCAACTTTTATGTTTAAAGATTTATTATCCAACTATGCCAATAATTATTTTATATGGTTTTATGTCTCCATCAATAATGTATCATATTCTGGTAATTATTAACTTAGTTTCTCCAAAGTCTTTAAATTTTCAGCTTATAATAAAATTTCATTGCAAATATTTTAAAATTATTTAATTTTATTTAATTAAACTTCTTGATTTTATCTAATCTCATCTAATTAATTAAAAATATCCAAATAAAATTAAATTTCATCTGTAAATTTATTATTTGTTTCAATATTGAATGTGGTAGGTTTGGTTATTTCCCTATCAAGTATGAATTATAATTTTTTATCAACATCTCCCTTTAATTTTTTTACTACCTCTTAATCATTTTTATTGAGAATATTCAATGATACTAAAGCCTCAAAAAAGAATATAAATTATTCTAAGTCTCGTTTCTTTTCACATATTTATTCATAAAAATTTTGATCTTTCTCTTTCAAAGTATTTTAAAAATTAAGGAACACTATACAAAATGAATCATAATAGGAATTCAATTTTTAAACACACATTTACAATTAGTAACTATTTAGTTGAGTTTGTTAAAATATTTATTATATTTCTGTTAAAGTTTTTTAATCTATTAATAATTAAACATCAATTCTATTATCAGCATTAGATTCTTTTTCATATATTAAAAAATCAGAAATCATTTTAATTGAACTTTAAATTTAATTGATATATGTTATAGAATCTTATGCTCTAATTTCTATCATTTTAAGAATTTCTAAATCAAAATTACTATTTTCTGGCGTATTGATTTCTAAAAATAAATTCTATATCAATATCTAACTAATATGATTTATAGAATCAAAGTTTTCAATCAATATTATTTTTAAAAGTTTTTCAAGATTATTAATGACTTAAATTTCTGTTTTTTTAAATTTTTGATTGCTTTCACATTAAGAATATTATGTATATAAGAATTTAATTGATTAATGTAGAGTTTCATATGGAATCATTAAATTACCACTCTATACTATTTATTAATATGTTTATGAATTTTTTTCTAATTATTTTTCCATACATGCTATTTTTATTCTCACTTATAAAATTAATGATAATTCAAGATTCCAATTTAATGATACTTTTTCTTATAATATTAATTATATTGCACTATTCAATCTTAATAAAGAGTCCATACTCAAAATTCTAGATTTACTTGAATCATATTGTAATTTTTTTATAGCATCTATAAGATTTTTGATAATACTTTAATCATTTTAATTTTATTTAAATCCTTATAATTATTTTTGAAAATCTTTTGAATTAGAAGACTTTAAAAATAATTTATCAATAACTACTACATACTGATCTTTTTAAAATGTTTCCTAATATTTATTGCTTTGATATTTAATAAGGCCAGTTAAATATTATTAAATGTTTAATTACTAAATTTAGTAATATTCTTCTATAATTTCATTATCACTTTCTGAATTCTAAATTAGTACTTAAACTATTTTCTATAAACTTTAAATATTTTCTATTTCTGATAATAAATACATTATAGCTTTTTATTAATTTTTTAAGATTTTTTCAGCTTATTTTAACTTTGATTAATCTGTTAATTCATCTTAATGTATTAATTAATAAAACTCTAATAGTTCATCCTATGCTGATCTAGCTATATTAAGGATTGATGATATTTTTGCTGAAGAGATAGGCATAAGATTTTCTTATTACTTTTACTAATCTCTTTGAATTTATAATCTAGCAAAGTATTATTATTCAATATTTGATAATAAACCTTGTCCTTACAATATCATATTTTATAATAGAGCTTGGTCCTGTAAAATTTAAGAATTATCAAATAGTTATTTTGAAATTTAATCAGTTTGTATATGTTGATATTTTAATGCAATTACATGTCTATTGTTTATTATAGGAATAGAGTATTCTTTTAAAATAATTTATTCATACAAATTTTAATCAATTTATAATTTATCTAATGTAGGTTTGAAACAATATAATTATTATAAGAGTTATATCCATGCAAACCATATTTCCCAATCATTTGATTCTTTGATAATTTCATTAAAAACTTTTCCTAATTATTCAACAATCTATTTAGTTTATCCTTAATTTTCCATTTAATCCATAGAATCAAACTTTAAAGTCAGTAATGAATAAATTAATTCCAACTTTTTCAATCGGCAATATTTAATTCCTTATTGATATAAATATGCAACACCACTTTTTAGACTGTCTATCAAATCATCATTTAATGAGAATGTAGCAATAGCTTTAAATGCTCCTCCTAAGAATTTTACAAGAATATCCTGTCCTTCAGTTGAATTTGTAGGAGTAATAAAAATAATCGCTTAAATTACAAAAATTTCATATTCTATATGATTTTAATAACGTGAAGAATCACTCTCTATTTCCAATCTCTCGCTTATTTGATCCAATTCATTTAAATATTACTATTGTTTTGATAACTCCAAAAATCTGTTTTTATTTGTTGAATAAAATGTAAACATAACCCAAGTTAATTAAGTAATAATTTATGAAGTATAAAGTGCAAATAATATATTTGATTAGAGAAAGCTTTTAAAAGCAGGAAAAAGTTATTCCAAACTTTCAAAAACTAAATCAATAACTGATCTTGTGTATTTTTAATTTTTGACCAATAACCAAATTGCTCTGGCATTCAATTAAAAAAACTAAAAGCTATTCATTAAATTTTATTGTTAATCTAATACTGTAACAGCATTAGAAGAAATTTTAAGGGCATGAAGTTTTATTTAATTAACCAAATCTGGTGGAATCTTTTATTTTAACAATTTTGGTGCACTCACATTTGATGAATCTTTTGTTGCTGTTGTTGAACTTCCACAACCTCCTCCTCTTAAATACATTTAAAGTTGATAATTTAAATAATACAAAACAATTCTTATCAATTAAAAAATACACTTATTCAATTAAATAAAAATAGAAATATTATCATATTTCTATTTTGGTTGTTATATCAAATAATAATAAGATAATCATTGAGAAAATTAAATTTAGTCAGATATTGTTTCTAAACATATTAGTTATAAATCTTTTAAATCTTTCAGCATATTGATGAGGAGGTATTGCAGAAATATCAGGACCTTAAAAACATCTTTTACAACAATATTCTATCTTCTTTTTAGTGCTAAGATATAAATATATCCAATTAATACTTAAAATTTGTCAATATATCAATAATTCCAAAAAAATATATTTTATCACCAGTTTTTGATTGAATTATAGAAATGTCTTCTTAATCTTGTTCATGTATTATTTCTGTTCTTGAAGAAGTTTGAAGAAAATTAATTTCATGAATTCCCAAAAGTAAACTATAATCTATAATATTATTTTAAGCAAAAAAATCTGCATCTTTACATAATTATGTAAGTAATTCACTTTATTTATCTATTCTAATATTAATTTTTTCATGAGATTCCAAAAAATTTAAATCTTTTCTAGCTACTGTATAATCAGCATTATTTGGAGTTTTTCTTTAATGAAGACTCCCTTTAATATCATATCTTAAATTAATTTCATGAGATGTTTTGAATACATTACTCATAATAATAAAATGTATTTTTTTATCATCTAATATGATTTTATGCATTCCAAATAACTTAATTATTAATGATTATCTATAATCTTTAAGATGTTTAAAATAATTATATAAGATATGTCTCATAAAAGTAAATTCTGTTTTTGATATAGTTTTCAATGTATAAATACCATCTTATGAATAATAGAAAAAACTGCCACTTTTACCACTAGATGTCAATTCAGATAATGTACTAAGATCTCCTTTTAAAATACTTGATAATAATGTTTCAGGTCCAATGCTACTCAAATAATTATCATTATCTATAAAAAACATTTTTCTAATATGATTAAATACTTAAGGAGCATAATCAAAGAATTTACAAACCTTAAAAGTTGCTTTTTCATTACCAGTTCTCTTTGGCATAAGTTCAAAATAATATTTTAATTTAAAATCTTTTAATGTAACTTCATAATCACTTAAAGCATTTACTGATTTTACTGCCATTTATATTCCAATCATCATATTTAATACAAGATTCCAATTTTAATGTCCAAATTATACAGATAAAGCTGTTTTTCTCTTTTTATTTATATTAGCTATAGTAGCTCTTCTTTTTTCAGCCAATTCTATATCTTTCTTCTTTTTAATATTAAATTCTTCTAATTTCTTTTAATACATTTTTTCTAATCTATCTAAAGATTATTAAGTTTATTATTTTAATTCATGAATCTTTATCAATGCTTCTTTATAATTATCTCTTATCTAATCTTCTGTCATATAATTAATCTTTTCTAATCCATCAGTTAATTCTGGATCTAAAGTTTCCTCACTTTCTTTTGATTATAAATTATAATCTATTTTTATTGGGATTTCTTGATCTCCTCTATGTATGAATGGACCAATCTAACTAGTGGCACATATAATTTGACTAGTTTAAACTGCTCCTTATTAACGTGTTTTATTCACATTTATAGTACTTGACATTCTTAATGATAAAGCATCAATCTCTTCTCCCATCAAATATTGGATTCCAAATTAACTATTTGTATTTTACTTCCTTTAAAATATATTGATTTGATATACATTTTTTTCTAACAAAACATTAAACTGGAAATTAAATTTGGTTTTGCTTATACAGTTGTTGAATATCTATTTTGTTACAATCCTATCATCATTTCAAATAAGTCTACTGCTTAATCCTTTATCAAATAAAACTCACTAAGAACTATCTAATCTTATTTTAAGGTTGCTTCTTTAATAGAAATTGTTATGCCTTTCCTTAAAAATTCAAATATATCTAGTAAAGATGGATCACTTGCTAAAATTCCTTTATATTCAATAAATGAGACCTTCTCATCATTATTCTTATCCATTTATGTAAATATATAAGTAACTCTTTTTTCTAAATGATCTCTTATTTCATTTGTTATGGCTGTTCCTGTCATAACAACCCAAGAATCAATCAAAGCTTGCATTGTTTATTAAAAATCTCTTAATGTGAAATAACCTTTTCTATTTTAATCAATTAATTTATATGATATCTCAGCTTTTTCATCTTGAGAACCATAAGTAATTTTATCAAAATAAGCAAGAAATTCATTAAATTAAATTTTACCATCCTGATCTTCATCAATAATTTAAAATAAACAATCACTCAATACTTAAACTGTTTCAAGTCCAAGTAGTCCCATATTATCTCTAAATTGATTTTTTGTTAAAAAATTAGATCCATTAGTCATTCTCTAAAATCTTTATTTAAGTATATATGTTACCTTCTATGCATTTCTTAAACTTCTTCAGCTGAAAAACGGAATCTTGTCATTCTATTCCTCTAAGCTTACTAATTTCCATTCTTACCACAGCAAAACATTTATTATAATAAATAATAAGTAAAGTAAATAATTAACTATTTACTATAAATTAGATAATCATTAACTTCTTTTGATTCCTAATATAGATAAGATTGAACACACATTATTAATATAATACCCATTCATAAAAATATTAAATAAATTATTATTTACATCTTAATCTATCTTACAAAACTAGTTCAAATATTATTAAGATGAAGGATTCTATTACTTATTATATATAAGGTATTTTATTGAATTATTTACAATAAATTTTGATTAAAATCAAGAATTTGGAAATTATATAATTTTCATATAAAAAAATGAATAGAAAATTTAATTTAATATTAAATGAAAATCACCAATAACCACCATGTTCTTTAGATAAATGTTCATAACATTCTGATGATGTTTTAAACACCATCATACAAGGAACTCCCTTTTTGTTATTTTTCCAACATATGCTTTGTTTACAAACAGAACAAGTTACTCTATAACATCCATCAATTCTTTATATTAATGCTTAACAATGAGGACATTTTCTAATATCTTATTCTTTCATTAATTTTAATAATAACACTTAATCACCAATCTTATTTTCCTCACATGTTAAACCAGGATGTCTTAAAGCCTATTATTAATTAAATAATTACTTTGCATAAACAACAATATTATTTTAAACACATTGAACAATATATTGATTTTTCTTAAGTTTAAATTTCTTCAAAATTATTACAACCTGGTGTATAACAAAATGTTAAACTCTAATTATTATCCTAAACAAATTTATTAAGTGCCAAATTTATCAAAGTATCTTTATTATCTTTCCCAATTATTTATAATATATCATTTAAAATCATCTTTTCATTACATACAGGACATCTTACAGGAAATAATTTTGCATCTTGTAAAACACTATTACAATGTAGAGAAATGCATTCTAAACAACATTTATGACCACAACCTTATAATAGATAACTGTGTTTAATATTATCAAAACAGATAGGACATTCTGATTATTTAACTTCATTTATTCCTGTTTCTCCATCTAAGTTTATTTAAGAAACAGCAGACTCAATACAAAAAACAGCATCTAAAATATTTTAACCTTATCCTTCTAAATATAATTCTCTACTCTGCTATTTGTATTTAATTTATGTCAAATTAAATTGTTTTTTAATACTATCAAGACCTTAACCTTTCAATCCTACTAATTCTTTTAAAGCTCCTGGTGGTATTATTAATTTATGAGAAACAACTGTTTCTGTAATTTAATTAATATAATCTGTAATTTCCTATAATTTTTCTTATTTACAACATACACGAATCACTTTTTTGTATTGATCAATCATAAAATGTATACTTCCATCCAACATCTCATAGTCTTTTAATTTATTCTATCCAAAAGTAGTAAACAGAAAATCCCCATTATTCTTTAGTTTAATTTGTTAACCCTATAAGAAATTAGTCAAAACTTGATCTAATTATTAATGTATTAAAATATTTTAAGAACGAATCATAACTTATTATTCTTGATTTTTAAATTATGTTTCTTATTGAAAACTGACTTTGAAATGAAATTTTTCATGTTCCTTTAGAATGGCTAGAATATGAGGTTTGAGTTAATTAAGGATTTTATGATATTAATAATATTATCCTTGACAATGTACTTTAATCAAATTTACTCCAAATTATATTTTTTATCCATTTAAAATTTCTAATAATTTTTACATAGTAACAACATTTGAAATTTAAATTTTAGCTATTCTTTTGCCTCCTGGTTTTCTAATCAAGTGTGTATGATTAAAATCAACATCTTTTTTTTCATTTCTTTCAATATTCCTATTAATTAAATGTATAATTCTTTATGAATAATCATCTTTACTTTCTTAAAGTGTTTTTGATTGTAAATCAAGATATTTGATATGTTTTTTCCCACCACACAACATTAAAATATCGATTTCAGTTGTATATGAACTTAAATTTTAAAATTTTAAAGTTAAATCATCAATTTAACTTATTTTAATCTCTTTTCCATCTAAAACTTAATTATTAAATTAATTTAAACATTATTTTGCTTATTCCATTTCATTAAATATAACAATACATGTACCTGTACATAATTTTGCATACCAAATAACATTCAAAATATATTTTTATTAATTAAAATTTTATTATTAATTATTAGTTTATTCTGTAATTACACTAATAATTCTATCTTAATACTCTGATTAATCATATCCTTAAATAATATAAGGCATATCATCTTTATCTTCAATAACAATTTAAGCTTAAGTTTCATTTTAAAAATAATTTAATTTAAGATGAGTTATAACAGTAAAATCTTCAAATAATTCTTTGATATCATTTTCTGTTACTTTTGGAGGTAATCCTATTATTTTAAACTCTTTAGATTCATGTTATTTTATCCATTCACTTATAAGGGCTCCACTCTAAAAAATTAATTTCTTTCCAC